TCATATTTTTAGCTATGTCAGAAATCCGATTAATTTATTAACAAGTTGTAAAAGTTGGTCTAACATTGCCAAAGACAATCAGGCAAGAGCATAATGGGTTATTTGTAATTATGGTCAAGCACACGCATTTTTTTATGCTGTTAGATTAGGTCCAACTTTTATTAATCTCCCTGTCGCACGTGCTATCATCGTAAAACACGGAATTCTTTCTAGATATTTTATTCAACGACTCATTGCCCACTTTGGAAGTTACGATCCAATGCTAATTGAATTTAAAATCAGACACGAATTTAAGTCAATCGACATCGAACAATTTAAATCTTTGCAGGACAAAGTTCGTTCACCTTGGGCGAGTAACCTACAATTACCAGTTTTTATTTACTTACTAGATGAAGCGTCAAAACAATTTGGGTCACATGACTTTAATAAAGACGACATGGAACATTTTCGTAGTCTTTCAGCAGCTCCAGATATTAAAAATAATATGGATGAAATTAAACATTTATTATTGCCAAATCATCTCTTTCAAGACCGTACAGACAACTTGAGACTTATTACATACAACTTGGAATCGAGTGTCCAAATGGTTATGAAAACATACAAAATCTTAATGCAATTGCACGCGCAATTCTATCATGTGATAAATTGGTTTATATTTGGAAAGAGATTGGTTATTATGAAATATGTGATGACACAAACGACCTAGTGATGCGAGGTGCGCTATTGATCCTTTGTCGAGATCGACCAGACGATAAAGCTATAGTTGAAAAAGTTATGAGATTAATTAATCTCGGTTTTAAACCAAGTTATTCAGTTATCAGTGACATTCTTTATCTTTTTGAATGTAGATTAAATGATATTGGCAGGAAATTGATGGATTCATTTATGTATATTAAAGGAGAATCGCGTGAAGATTTTTTAAATTATTGTCTAGTTGAATCATTAAGACATGAGCGTAATACGAAAAATCATTTTGTATGGGATTTTCTCTATACACTAATATATAATGATTCCGAAACTGTATTTATCAAAGCATGTGACCATTATTGGATCAAAAATATAGATTTAAATACTCAACTTACCTTACCATCAAAATTTTATGCTTGGATTCTGACAAAATTCGGTGTGAATGCGGAAATCGCGAAACTTTGTTTTGAAGACATATTAAAAACACGAATTAATGTTGATAAACAACTCCAACAAACTCCCAACATTAAAATCCCAATTGAAATGAATCCAACCGTATTCTATGAACTTTGTGGTGCTCTAAGAACATATAATGAAGCTAAAAACTTTTACTTGCCATTACATTTGAATATAATCTCTCAATGCGAGGCCACGGAAATTCTGATGCCATTATTTAAATGCCATCTACCTAAATTATTTAAGGAAAATATAAGCAACAATATGTTACAGGAATGGATGGGCGCACTATATACTTTAATTTATGATACCGATAATTTAAATAAATCAACCGAGATGTTTAAAAATTATGCACTTAATTTTATTAAAGAAACGTGCATAATGACTAATATGCCGTTAATCACTGCATATAGTATCTCTCAAAAATAATACTCTCCTTGATTAAGGCACGGTATTCTCGCCTAGCTTAATTATTGGATAAGATCCTGGATACTATATGCAGTGGTTAATGGTAATGATATTTTTAAAGGGTATATTGTAGGGAAAGCGTTTTAACGTTAAGTTTATTATGTTTTACTATAAATTTTTAGAGAGTAATGTAGTACGTATATTTGATTTAGAGTTGGTATAATAGGAGGGTAACAAAAACGAGAGTAAGGAATAAATATGTATTGGGTTCTTTACTATCCATAAGGGCAAAGCCCATATAGTTGGGTAACTATAGAACTATGTGATCTAAGGATTATTAATTAAATATATATTACTTATATATCTTTTTCCTCTCTTAGTATATATATATTATAATAATTAAAATGATATATGAAAGTATTGTAAAACTGTAAAAGTCAATGTAAATTTAGTATTATGAAGAGTTACTATAAATGGCCACTTACAAGACCCTATCACGATAGTAAATCACCAACTTTCACTTGAGTCTATCGTAAACTACTAATATTTACAACCGATACCGTACCCAAGTGTTTTGACAAGGAATATAAATTAAAGATAAGTATATAATTGATATTATTATAAACGTAAAATCAGAATTTATGCCCTCGTTAAGGCTATTAAAAAGCTGGCGGATCCAGTTTTTGATATCTGCCCCAAGTTTAAACGGCTCCACAAAAAGCTGGTTCGTGTAACTAATGAGTGGTTTTTTGCCGAATGAGACGTGTTTAGACTTAGTGAATAGAGTTTCGGGATGGTCTAGACTAGGGCCACCGATTTTTTGCTGCGACAGATCCAAAATTCTGCCTGAATACCGACCTTTCTACATTATTCTGATTAATAAGGTTTTTTTCAAATAGTTTTTCACTTTTATATACTATTTAGATAAATTTAGAATAGGGACTAATTTGTTTAATAGTATGTAATTTTTACAAGCCTATTACAGGTTTATCATTATAATATTAGAATAACCATTTTTTTTTTGTTTTTAATACTCTTTTACTCTCTTCTTTTCTTGCTTACATATTTTACCATAATCCTCTATGTTAGACTCAAAAGAGTCTATAAAAAACTTAGATATTATCAAAAAAAGAAATTTTGTATAAAAATTTATCAAACATTGCATTTTTATATAGTAAAATTTTAAATTTTAGTCTATTTTATATGCCTATTTGGCTAAAATTATATAAACTTAGATTTGAGTTGTTTATATATTCTTTGAAGTTTTCTTATATCTTTGTGTTATTTTTTTAATTTTTTTTATACGTTCTCTTATTTGGTTTCTTGACAAAAGTGAGTAGCTATTATAGCTTATAATTGGAAAAATTAAATTTTTAGTGAGTTGAGAATATAATATAAAGCTATTTTACTATTAGACAAGTTATATTTAAGTTTTAATACTAAATAAGTTTTTATTAGCATAGAGCTATAGTATAAAACATTATATTTTACCAATATATCTAAGGAATTCTTTTTAACAATCTTTTGATCAATAACAATAAAACTAAACTATAGCAAATATATATAGAAAGTAACTAAACAGATACTACTTTTAGTTCTATATAAAGTAGACTATTGTTAACAAAGTCTAAGTTAAATATAATATATCAAAAAGCAGATAGTTCCTAGTAGTTTTTTTTGAAATCAAGTTTTCTCTTGAACAAAACTTATCAAAATATTTAACACTAAACCAGAAAATTATTCTGAGAACAAAAAAAATAACTCTTATCAAATTTAGCAAAAGCTTAAAAATTAAAATATACAAGAAGAACTTCATATATACTTATTAGCCTACTATTTTTTTAAAAAAATTTTTTGTAAAAGGTAGATATTTTAGTTTAACTTTTCTAAAAGATCAATATTATATACACCAAAATAATTAGTATTATTTATTTGTTAAATCAGATTAAATATAACTAAAAATAAATTTTTTGGTTATATATTTATTAGCAGACAATAGCAATATATAGCAGTAACAACAAATATGTATTTTATATATATGAATATCTGTACAAATAATGTTTTAAAACTTAGCTTCAATCTTTCTATAATAATAAATCAATTAAGTTTTTCTACTAAATTTTTTTTAGATATATTAATTAAATAAATTTAAAGTAGAGCTTAGTTTATTTAGTAATATATAATTATTACAAGCCTAATATAAACTTATAATTATAGTTATTAGAATAAATAAATTTTATTTTTTCACTATTCCTCTTATCTTTTTTTTTATAATTTGCATTTTATTATAATTTTCTATATCTTTGTTTTTATTTTTAGTATTTTCTTATATAATATTTTGTTTTTGTATATTGTATCTTGACTATATATATTATTAAAATAAATTTTTAAAAAATTTTATTTTGTCTCTATTAAAGCAAATTAAAGTTTTTTATATACAAAAACAAATTTAATTTAGATAATTATATTCTTTATAATTTTGTTTCTTTAAACAAAATATCAAAAAATTTTGTCTTTTAAGTAAAATAAATCAAAAACAATTTTGTTTTTAAATTTTAATTTTAGGTTTTAAACTCCAAAATAATTTTGTTAGTATGTATAATTTTAACAAATATATAGCTATTAGTTAAGAAACAAAGAAAAAAAAGTTTCTAGTAAGTTAGGAATCTAAAGTAAAGCTAAAGATTACTAAAGCAGATTATATTTATTTTTTATTTTTTTTTTTTTTAACGTCTACCCTCTTGGGAGCTAAGATTTTTATTCAAGTATATATAGCAAGGAGTTCTCTAGAGAACCCCCTACATTAGAGAGTACATACTAGCCACATGTACACTTTTAGTGTCTAATTTAAGTAGTCTGCCTGTACATCATACAGGTTCTATACTAGATGCCGTACCTGTAACCCAACTATGGGT